CGGAAATCTGATAGCTTGCCTTTGGGGAAAGGTCTCCTCAATTCTAAGTACTTTGAACATTAACTCTGGTGGCCTCAGTGGGTCGACCATCCACCTGAGGAAGAAAGCAGCATTTGACACAGATGTTCCTCCACCCGATCACCTTTCCCCATAAGCTACCCTTCACGGTGATGTTTCTCCTGCCAAGGCACAGCCGTGAAGGGAAGTGCTGGTCTGAACCGACGGCACAAATCACGTCCCCCCCTCGTTGCTGTGAATGTGCGAGTCCACAGCAGCTGGGATGACTAAAGAATGACATCGGCTCATGCCTACTGAACCTTTACTGTGTCCCAGGCACCATGAATGCCCTCTACCCAGCATCTCATCAAGTTGAATCTTTACCACATCCTCTGAGGTAAGGACTATTGTTGCCCCATTTTACAGATGAAGAAACTGAGGCTTACTGGCATGAGGAGACTTTCCCAAGGTCACATAGCTGTTCCAAGTGGCACTGGGACACAGAACCACATCTGCCTCCAACCCCAGCAAGAGTCACCAGCTCCAAAGAGCCGGAAGGAACCCAGGACAGAACTCACCTGATAGGAAAGGCCATCCTTTCGGGGGTTGAGGCCAATCTCCTCCATGGATGGGGTGTTCATCATCACTTCAGTCATCTCGGCAGATCGCAGATAGTCGGGGCTGCCAAGAAACCCAGACCAAAAGTCAACAAACACACGCACTTTCACATTCCTATCCTTGGTGCTTTCTGCTTTTAGATCAGGGGACTGTCTGGAGGCAGGATGAGAGGTGTTCAAAACAGAACTCACAGAAAAACAAGCTCACACCCTGAGGAAGTGCCTTATAAGCCCAGGGCATCAGGGCCCTCAGCCTCAGCCAACAAAGCCCTGAAACTGCCTGAAAACCGCTCTGGCAAACCTCTCTTTCCTCCTCTCCTGTACAAGTCCCCACTGGCACAGAGCACTCTGGATTTTCTTTGTGATAGTGACAGAACTAGAAAAAAACCCAAACAGTAGGTAGCTGAGTCCATCTGTCTATATTAAAACCAATTCAACCCGTCTCTAGGGGAACTGCATATTATTATTACATAATGATAACGGGTCAACCTCAGGGAAACCAAGTCCAATAATGCTGCCTTCCCAAATTCCTCTCTCTCTTCCTCTCTCTCTGGTGTTCCTTTTTGCAAAATGTCCCACTTAAAGCCCCAAGGGGTCAGCTTTCTGCAGGCTTCACATCTGCCATCCAACCCCCTTCTCTAGTCCAGCCACAGCAGCTGCAAGCTCACAGCTTGAAAAACATCCCCTGGATTAAAAGCCTTAAGGATGCCCGGACTCTGATTGCAGAGGAAATTTCCAGAGGAGCCAAGCTGGCCCACCAATGGCTGACATGTGAAAGTGCTTTGTACTCTGTAAGCAGGATACAAATGTTCCATTATCCTCACTCAAACCACGGGCACATACAGGGTCCCGAATGCATAATGCCAAATAGTACATACCAGTCAGTGCATTCCCGACACAACACCCAATATTTTCACCATCATGCCTTTACACAGTTACAAAATAAATAAATGTCGGCAAGGCTTTAAACTGACTACATCTAAGGAAACAGGGGTCTCCTTAGATTCTTCTTCACTTCATCATTACTACAGAGAGTAGAAACAGCATTGGATTTGGAAACAGAAGCATTAGGTCTGGTCCAGGCTCTGCCACTCAAGAGCTGTGTGATCTGGAACAAGTAATATAACCTCTCTGAGCCACAGGTGCCCTGTTTCTTACCATGATGCTAATAATGCATATATCACACTTACGCTAAATGGCTCATCTCTGGGGTGGAAAAACCGTTGCAAGCTATGAAGAGCTAATCAACTATAAAATAATTCCCAATTATTTTATTTCCCTTAATTTCTCAGGGGATAATAATGGGCCTGATGGGCCCTAACACCCACCTTGGCAACTATGGAGTGGCCAGGGGCACAAAGCCTCCAGCAGCCTTCGAAGTCTCACCCACATGGCACCTGGCTGCTCACACACCAGGGAGGCGGGAGGGGAGCGGCGCCCCTAAGGAGGGGGTACGCAAGCCTCACGGGTGGGGGAATTTTTACTTTGTTCTGAGAGTTCATTTCTCTAGACAGAGCCAGGGTGGGGGAGGAGAGACCGAAGATGCTGGGCTTCCGGGCAAGGGTTAGGGTCAGGAAGGGAGGGGGGAGGGGACTCCACAGGCGGATTCATCCCGGGTCCTGGAAAGGCTGCCGCCGACCCCCAAAGAAACGGGCCCACGGGGCTCTCGCCAGGCTCTTCGCCTGGGGTAGGGGCGCTCGCTCTTCGCTCCGGGCTGCGGCGCGGGCCCCAAAAGTTGAAGCGAGAAGCAGGAACTTCCCGGTTCCTGGGCTGAGCGGGACAGCGCGCAGTTGGAACCCGCGGGTCCGGCCCGCCGTGCCCGCACCTGAGGGCGCCCTCCCGCGCCGTCAGTGCTCCCCCGCGGCCGCTCCTCCTCTTCCCGGGCGCAGGAAGGAAGCGGCAGCCGGCGCGGCCGGGGGCCTCGCTCCGCAAGCAGCGCGGCGCCCGCGGCGCATCCCTCCCGGCCCAGATCCCGGGTCCGTGCGAACGTCCTCCGCCCCCCGGCCCGGCCCCGGATTCTTCCCGGCGGGTGAGAGCGGCTCCCCGGCCCCAGCCCGGGCCCCCACAAAGGCGCATGGGGTTTTGAGGAGGAATGAGATCGAGAGGGCGCAGCTTGTGCTGGTGCTGCTGCTTGTGGCTTTCATCGGGTTCCGTGTGGGGAGAGCGTTTCTCCCCACCCCTCGAAGCTCTGCAAAAGCCGCCGCTGCACCAGCTCAGCCCCGCTGCCGCCGGCCTCGACGCGGAGCCTTGCATGCGAACAAAAAGGAAAAGGGGAGGGGCCGGGGCAGAGCAGGAGCCCCCTGCGCCAGCCGGGGCGCGTGCCTCCTGCAGCCCTCCGCATTGGGGGTTCTGTTCGCGGGATTCAGGCTTGATCCCTGGTTCTCCCCCCACCCCACCACCAGCACATACGCACCCTCCCAGCCGTCACTTAAGTGAGGGCTTCGAGTTCACTCCCTTTGTCTGGATGCTCTCGGCACCACCGGCCCCCACCCCCACCTTTGCAACCTTGACGTTGACTCCGGCACGGGCTGGGGCGGCGGGTGAGTGCCGGCGCCCGCGCCGCCTGCTGCCCTCGCACCCGAGCCCGCAGGAGCGGGCGCCCGGGCCCCGCAGCCATGGCCGCGAGACGGATGCCCGCCGAGGGCGCAGGATACTCACCAGTGAATGGGGAAATACACAGACATGAAGTCCGAGGGGAGGCTGACCCACGCCCTTGTGATTTAAAAACGGCCACCGCGTCCCGAGGAAGGATGTCAGGGGCGCAGACAGGCGCGGCAGGCGGCGGAGTGCGGGCACTAGGCGTTCGCCGGTCCGCCTTCCGGAGACAGCCCCGCTGCCAGCTGCGTCGGCAGAGCACACGGAGCTCTCGGTTCCCCACCGAGCCCGCGGCCCCACAAAGAGCCCGGGAAGCTGTATTTATAGGGGCGGGGGCGGGTCCCGGCCGCGGGAGGCCCCGCCCCCCTCTCGCCCACTCCTGGAATAACGTCACCAAAATCATGAATGGCTTCAGCGCTCGCAGCTCCTGCCGGCGGCGGCTCGGGGGCGCGCTCGGCTCAGCTCCCCGAAGGCCGTGGTTTGCTTCCAGCCGGGCTCCCTCCCCGAGACTCACACACGCAGACACGCGCGCGCGCGCACACGCACGCACCAGTTCAATGTCAACGCTTCTTCCGGACGACAAACCCGCCCGCGTCCGCGGCCCCCTCCTTGCACACACCCCTGGGCAGTCGGGGCGGAGGATCGTGGGCTTGAGGAGGGCGCTGGACCCGCTCCGGACGTGACCGCTCGGCGGCCGCGCTGCGCGGTAGGAGGGCGCCATCCCTCGACGCTGGATGCCTGGCGCCGGCGCCCTCCTCTGCACCTTCTCGCCGTCCCCAACCCCATAACTCGGGGCCCCTCTTCAGCGTTCATCCCCCAAACTAGGCCTCGCCCGTGACACCTCGATCGCTGCGCCCGAGGCGCGTCCCTTCCATCTCCGGCAAGCTGCGTGGAAATGGGAGCATCGCTAAAAAAAAGAGGCGGTGGAGCAGGGAGGGGGCGCGAAGCTGGGGAGACCCAGTGCCCGTGGGGGTTCGCGTTAGCTTGCAAGGGGCTGGTGTGCAGCCCGCAGATCCGTGGAGGATTTTATTTGTGTGAGAAAGGATGTGGTGTCATTGTAGGGTTTTTCCATTGGACACCTACACAACGGCGGCGCGGGGCAGGGGGTGCGGGTGGGCACCGCACAAGCACACCCCACTAGCCTTGGCTCCGGATCTGCTGCAAGGAGAAGAAACAAAGAGCTTCGGCCAAACCCCTCCCACACTGCCCAGGAATTACAACTCCAGGGGTCTGTCCAGGTGGTCAGGCTTCTCAGCCCCCAGAGCCAGGGTGGGAGTCTGCCCCTCTGTGGCTGGAGCGCGTTGCTTCACACCTCTGCTCCACAAACTCCCGTAAAATGGCTTTATAACCCTGATCTATATGTGTACTGGGGATTGAGGAAGTGTGTGTGTGCAGAAGAGGAAGGGGGAGCTTTCAAAAACTTGGCAAAATTAAATGTACTTTGAAGTCAGCTCTTTCAACGGTAGTGAATGTATTGAATCCATATATACACTTAAAAGCGGAAATACATAAGCTTATCGCAGGTGAAAGATAATAGGATTAATGGTGAGGGCTTAACAGTGGCAGGACCATGAGGAGGCCCTCATAATTTTCATCAGCCCTCCCAAGCTAACCCAAATAAAAATAACCATGGGAATTAAATAAAAACAACTTTGCTATTTTGGGTCATTCATATATACAACCTGAGTAATAGTGTACTTCCTATGAAAACACAGCTTCAAGACAACCCCTCACTCCCTGCCTCCCCCCCTCCCAGTTGTTCCTTCCAACCTGAGAAATTCAGGAGCTTCTACTCACCCCCACCCCACCCCATAAGATAAATCAGAAATGGATTCATGCTGCCAAGAACCACCTCCATGCTCCTTCTCTGGAGACAGTGTACTGATGGAGGTCGATGCTTCTATGGACAGGTGCTAAGGGGAGATTCTCCAGTATGGGATTACCACTAACAGAGGGGGCTGTTTGTGCCTTTTGCATAGGGCGGAGAAACTTCTCAAAGGCTGGGTGGGACATGTTGTCATCTACATAGTCAAAGGAGAAGCCAGTGTTTGGAGAGCTTATTTCCACCTTGTGACTGAGGTCGGCCCTGGGAGAGCAGGACTCGTGTCCTCTGCCATTTCTCCCCAGTAGCAATCCCTGGCAAGGCCTGGGATGAAAGACTGACTCACCATTTTTACATACCAGCAGCCCAGCATTACATATTTGTGATTATCGCTGGTGAAACTTTCTAGATTCCGAAAGCTACCCCCTACCCCCTGCAATACACAGACCCTTCAAGTATCAAAATGGCCTCATTTTGAAGAGGGTGGGATGGAAGGTCTCCACCAGCAGATGTCCGGCCTTCTGAAAAATCCCCCACATTGGAGAACCTTGAGGTAACTCCCTGATGCCTGTTCTTGAGGAAACTTTATATTAATGCCCATTTGAAGTGAAAGTTACCTCTTGTCAGTAAGTTGGAGTGGAAAGCAAGCCTTGGGTTAGAACCCCAAATCTACACTGTTTCCCCTCTGAAACCATGGTGACACATTCATTCATATGAAAATATGGGAGGCATGGGGCTAAACTTTGGTGTCACTATAACAACTACGTCATTTCTCAGTCATAATACTTTATGTAGTGCCTTGCCATTTTTTAAAGCATTTTCATGATCTCGGCTTTCAAAAGAATGTAATAAGATTACCATAGCACAATATACAGTCCCTAGCCTAGAGCGTGCAAACCGAGTCTGAAATTAGGGCACTTGCCGAAGATCACACAGCAACTCTGCTACATTGCTCTGATCATATCTGTAAAGACACAGGGTATCTGAACATGCAGACTGACCACGGCTTCCCAATATCTTATGAGATAGGTTTCTATCCCTACTGCCTTCAAATAAAGAAACAGAAACACCAGTGAAGGAAGTTAACATGGAGGCCCAGAATCTTCGGGCTGAAAGAGAACTTCCAAATCACCGAGTCCAGTCTCCTCATTTTACAGGTGAGAAGACACCTAAGAGATTAAATGGCACGTCCAAGGCTATTAAATGGTGTAGATGGAACCTGAACGCAGGCCTTCAGACCACTGGTCAAATGTTCTTTCCACTACAACGCTACATCTCTGCCAAGAAGTCAGTAGCAGAAGTCAAACACACGATCTGGACTCTCCCAACCCCGTCAGCCCACCACTGGCATTTCCTGAGCATCTCCTATGTGCCGCTCAGTGAACTAAACAGCCCTCTGCACTCCCTCCCTCTGCCACATTTGTCTTCAGGGACTCAAGAGTCGAATTGCAATTCTGCTTCAGTGAAAATCCAAGTGTAATCAGAACTGCCTTGCTTTCCAACATTGCCTAAATCCAGTTTCCCAGCTCCTTTTCTCTCGCACCTAAAATAAGAATTAAAAAAAGAATAAAGGTACTGACTTACCCATGGCATCAATGTGCAGGTATGCAGGCCATGTAGCTAATTACTCATTGAGTAAAAAAGTCTCCATCTAAATTCCTTTAGCAATGTATTTCCATGCTTGATCTCCCTCCTGCTTTGCAAAAAGACAGTATTGCTTTTAATCTGCCTTGTAGTGGTGAAGCTCGTGCTTTGTTCAGCTCTAAGGGACTTCACAAAGTAGATGTTGGCTAAGGTTCACTTGTGTCTGCTAGCATGTTTACGCCTCACGACGACTTTAAGACATAGGCACTATTATCCCATTTGTCAGATGGAGAAAGAGAGGCTCAGAGAGGTCAAATAACTGGGCCATGGCCACACAGTTCTCGAATGGCTGAACCAGAATTTGACTCTGGGCCTTGTTGGTTCTAAAGTCTATGTTTTCCCCACGATACTACACTTATCCTGGCCCTTGTAGCTTTATTTGTTTTAACAGATAAGCTACAACTGAATATAAAATGTTAGTTCCGGGAGCGCCTGGGTGGCTCAGTCGGTTAAGCACCCAACTCTTGATTGGGCTCAGGTCATGATCTCAGGGTTGTGAGATTGAGCCCCACCCCCATTCCACCCCAGCCCCACCCCCGTGTTGTCATCATCATCATAATCATCATCACTGGGCTCCATGCTCAGCAAGGAGTCTGCTTCTCTCCCTCTCCCTCCTCCCCTCTCCCTGCTCACTCTCTCTCTCTCTCAAATAAATAAATCTTTTTTAAAAATGTTAGTTCCAATAGCAAAGATCAGGACTACTAGAGTCCATCCAGTGGGGTAGGGCTGGCAGAATAAATAAATTTCCCATCCTGGGAATCTGGGAGCTTCTTAAAGATATCAGTCAAAGGCTTGGGGTTTAAAAAAAAAAAAAAACTGAGTAGAAGAAGCGGAGTTTCTAGCCAATTTTTTCAGTGAAACTCATTTGAGTACATAAAAAATCTGAAAGGCAAGAATGTGTGTGGGTTGATGTGAGGATGAAATGAGATAGTGTTATGAAAACACTTGGTAAGCTGGAAAGCACTGAGCAGACGCAGGGCTTGTTTTTAAGGTGTTTTGGGGGAAAAGATGGGGTTCAGCAGAGTTGCTTGCATCTGCTTTGGTTTTCCACTCATTTCAGGCAAGGACTGCCCCATTTTCCCCTGGAGTCCCTTGACTGAAGTTTCCAGCACTGTGGGGAGAGGGGGAGCAGTCATGAGAGGCAAGTAGTGAAGCTCTGCCCAGCGGGTGCTGCTATGGTCCCAGTGTCCCCACATCTCCCCTCACCCCCTACGAGTTCCTCCAGTCTTTGGTGCCTCTCAGCAAGTGTCCAGCCGGGTTCTGGACACATGATGAACGCCCGACCTGAGTGTGGGCATGCTTTCCCACATCAGCCATCAGGGAACTAGTCCTCACACGAAACCACCAAACCCACCAGACAAAATCCTCTAGCCTTTGACTTACTTTGCTGTAAGTTCTCAGGCACGTTGCAGGGCTTCTCTGTGTCCCAGACTCCTAAAGCAGTAAAGCGGGCAATAGGAATCTTTTGAGCTCTCAGAACTCTAATAAGGCTAAGAGAAATTGCTTCTATAAATGCTCGAGGGGAAAGTGCTTTGCATCCTATCATCCAGGCTCTGAGGCCCAACATAAAGCCTGTGGGTACTCTTGCCCTGCGCCATCTTAGGAGGGGCCTCCTTTTTTCCACCCAGAACCCACTCACCCCCCAAAAGAAGTCTGGGACCTGGCAGCCCACAAATCCTTGCTTTCCCAAATATCAAAGAGATTCAGCCCTGGCTTTTTCTTTATTTCTACCAAGGGGCCTTTGAACCAAAGGGATTTTTAGAGAACGAAAACTCTATGGAATCCTTAGGGTCCAGGCTCTTGAAAGAAAACACCAAAACTGGAACCAGTTCAAGGCTTTCATGTCCAATTAAGGAAATACTCACATTCCTATCCTAGCTCGCCTCCAGCATGCTTTCTCTCTTTCCACATCTACACAGGAATGCGCTTTCACAGCCAGAAGAGAGGTTCCTATCACCAGGACTCGTATCATATAGCACGGGGCTCCTCGGGGTGGGCTCCAGCAGGCTGACACCTTCCCTGAATTAGACAAAGAACACGCACCATGGAACAATCCAAATTCCCTTCATACCTCTCGGCTCCTCCTCCCCCCACTCCCCTTTTTCACCCACAGCTCTGGACCAGAGGAACTCTGTCATACCTGTGGGTTATGAAAAAAGAGGAAAACACAATAGTTTCTTGTGAAGAAAGGCACTTTCAGTTTTCTTTTCAAGTATACAGGATGTCGCCCTGCTTCCTCCAGGGGCAGCTGCGTCCCTCCTGGCTTCATCCCCAGGGCTCCTTGGAGGAGGAGTGAGCAGTGAATTATGCACCAGGGAGCAGCTCCTTCAGACGCCTCTGCCAACTGTAATCCGAGCTCACACCAGCTCGCTGGAGTCCCAAGTGTGCTTCACACCCACATGGTGCCCAGCCTTGGGATCAGATGGCTGGGTCCTTATTACACTTTGCTGCCCTTTCAGCAACAATTCCACCAGGGCCTGGGCACTGACTGTGAGCTCCAAGGAATCACTTGAGGGGAACCTTAGCTCTCCTAAATCCATCACCCCCAAAGCCATCCCAAATAAACATACTCCAAGAGATGACAGTGTGTCTACCGGGCCAACACAGCTTCAGGATAAATTCCCTAAATTGCTTTAGTGATCCCTTACACAATCCTAAGGCTGAGTAAAAATAGCACACATGCTATGCATACAAGTTTTGCATATGAGTTTGCATATAAGACCCCTCGCCTCTGGGACTCCTGGGTGGCTCAGTCGGTTAAGCATCTGCCTTCGGCTCAGGTCATGATCCCGGGGTCCTGGGACAGAGCCCCACATCTGGCTCCTTGCTCCGCGGGGAGCCTGCTTCTCCCTCTGCCTGCCACTCCCCCGGCTTGTGCTCTCTGACAAGTAAATAACTAAAATATGTAAAAAAAAAAAAAAGAAAGAAAGAAAAAGAAAAGAAAAAAGACCCCTTGCCTCTGCCTTTCCTACCAGATTTGCTCTCCTGAGTTCCTTGTATAAAGAAATCAAGGGCTGGGGCGCCTGGGTGGCTCAGTTGGTTAAGCAACTGCCTTCAGCTCAGGTCATGATCCTGGAGTCCTTGGATGGAGTCCCGCATCGGGCTCCCTGCTCAGCAGGGAGTCTGCTTCTCCCTCTGACCCTCCCCCATCTTGTGCTCTCTCTCATTCTCTCTCTCTCAAATAAATAAATAAAATCTTAAAAAAAAAAAAAAAGAAATCAAGGGCTGCCTCTGGGGCTTGGCATGGGGTCCTTCACTAAGGAGATTGGGAGGACCAGACACCAGTCCCTTCTAAGACCATATGATGACCACTGCAGTAAAGACATGTGACCATGGTGGGTGGTGTGATTACTCTTGTCTTGGGGAGAGGGGTGCTGACTACCAGAATATAAGCTCCATAAGGGTAAGGACTGAGTCTATTTTGTTTACTGCTGGACTTCATCACCTGGAAGAGTGCCTTGCACATAGTAGGCACTCAAAAAACATTTGTTGAAGGAATGAATGAATGAATGAATGGTATCAAGAAAAGCTAAAAAGAAAGGATGCCATTAAGCTGGCCTCGAAGGATGGGTAGAAGCCAGAGAAGGGCAATCCTTACTACAAGAACAGCAAAAGTAAAGGCTCAGGGGTGAGAAAGTGCCAGAGGTGTGCTGGAAACGAGGAGTGAGCAGAAGAATCTTGATCTTGGGAGGGAGCACTGGAGCCCCCCACAACTCCAAGTTTGCAAGCTGGATGGAATGCCTATTTGTTAGTAAAGGTCCTTGTACTCCACAGAACGGATTGTGCACAGAATTTCTAGCAGGAAGAAAAAGGCAGTCACTTCTGTCGGCCAAACCCATCCAGTTTCCCTCACTTCTACATCATTTGAGTGAATATCAGCATTTCTTTTCCAGTTAGGTGGCACCCTAGCAGAAGTGTTAAGTAGGTCAAATTGAGCTGATGTGAACTGTGTCTTCTGAGACTTCCCCTTTCCACTCTCTCTCATTTCACACCTCTCTCTGACCTGCCCACTGATCTCAAGAAACCCATGCTCCCTTCATCACAGCCTTGCAAGCTCCAAAACCACGCTTTTCTTTTCCCTGCAAGTGTCCATCCTTCAGCTTCCTAATCCCAGGCAGCTGCCAGGCAAGCACACTTGATTTGATGCAGAAATTCACACTATGGTGAGAAAGACATGCTCGTGGTGCATCCGTGGTCTCCATCCAACAGTAGGCATTTCAGGCAGGGTAAGTGGGTGAGAAGAGAGAGCTCTGTGGTCACAGAGGCTGATGATGGTTGGTGGCAGAAGTCTGAGGGGAAACCATGCCATGGTAAGACAGAGCAAGAAGTGAACCCCTCAGAAGGGTGGGGGTGGCTGCGACCAGTGGGCTTGCCTTCTGGAGGGATCTGATTGGAATCCTGGCCCCCAGCTGTAATCTGGCAACAGCACTCGAGTGGATTAAGTCCACTGGTCAATGGGAGTGGGGGGAAGGGTCTTGGCAGACCCTTTTCACTAAGAAGGTACAGAGCTTTGGACTGAAGGGGACTCCTCTGAGTGGGCCCCAGGCACCCGGTGCAACTGCCCAGGCCCAGGCCAGGCCCGGGAGCCCAGGTGTGCCCCAGGAGAGAGGTCCTGCACCAGCCTGAGCCAAGCCGATGACAAGCCATGATAGTGAGAAAGGCCATATGCCTTTCCACGTGCTTAATGAGGCCCTCAGGGCAGCCGAGGCTCCCATGGAGGGCTTCTAAGCCCAGTGAGCCCACGGAGTGGTAGAGTATGGCTTCAGGCAGGAGCACCGTCCGCTACTGGGGCAGCAGGGCAGCTGGGTGCTTCTGAAGCCTGCAGCACCGCAGAACCTTGCCCTGCACTCCCCACCTGCCCTCTGAGTGGGCCCCTGTCTACATCTCCTACCTTTTCATCCAGGCGTCCTCTTAGGAAACAAAAACCAGCAAGGTGGAAGGAGATTCTCCTGAGGCTGCTGTCTAGCTTTATGCTTTAGTGCCCCTGATGTTACTAATGAAAAAAGCTAGCATTATGTGCGCTTGAGTCTTTCTGGAGCTTGGGGGCTGTTCCTTGCTCTATAACCACCTGCTCTTTTGAATTTCGGAGTGCTCGGAGAGTGCGCCAATGAGAGCTCCCACCCCAGACAGGGTCCCCTGCACACCCACTCCCCAGGGCCATTCTCATTTTATCGCCTCCCTCTGCAGGACGTAATCTTCCACAATGCTTACAAATTTCTCAATTTAAAAAGAAGAAAATACAAGGGGCAACTGGGTGGCTCAGATGGTCAAAAAGAAGAAAATATAAAGACTAATGAATTACACTCCAGATTATGATGTTGCCTGAGATTCTTAACAAGAGAATGAACAGGTCTCTTTACTTGGCCTCACTCTACTCATCTGTAAAATGGGCCTGATGTTCCCCGGCCTCAGCTCACTGCACAGGAAGGATGCAAGAATGGCAAGCATTCAGCTGCCTTGGCTGAGAAAAGTGAGGTATTAAATCATCCTCCATTGGATCTGCTTGAAAATGACTAGTAAAAAGAAGGGAAAGTGAAACTCCGGTTGATTACTTCGTTTTGTTGTTTGTTAACAGGAAAACATAGCAAGGGCAGCAACCTTCTCTTGGGTTTCTTTTTTTTTTTTTTTAAGATTTTATTTATTTATTTGACAGAGAGAGACACAGCGAGAGAGGGAACACAAGCAGGGGGCGTGGGAGTGGGAGAAGCAGGCTTCCCGCTGATCGGGGAGCCCGATGCGGGGCTCGATCCCAGGACCCTGGGATCATGACCTGAGCCGAAGGCAGACGCTTAACGACTGAGCCACCCAGGGCACCCCTTCTCTTGGGTTTCTGAGAAAGCAAGGCCAAGCCAGTTCTCTTAGAAGAGAAGGATGCCGGGCGCCTGGGTGGCTCAGTTGGTTGAGCGACTGCCTTCGGCTCAGGTCATGATCCCGGAGTCCCGGGATCGAGTCCCGCATCGGGCTCCCTGCTCAGCGGGGGGTCTGCTTCTCCGTCTGACCCTCTTCCCTCTCATGCTCTCTGTCTCTCATTCTCTCTCAAATAAATAAATAAAATCTTTAAAAAAAAAAAAAAAAAAGAAGAGAAGGATGCCAAATCTAATAGTTGATATCCTGTCTCTCCCTCTTTCCAGCGCTTTCTTGGAGTATTTGCACTGGCTCTCGCACCTGCCGACACCCTCGCTAGAAGCACACAGGTGTGTGAGCCACGCTTTCCCGTGGCAGCCCAGGGAGGTTATACCTGACTTCGCAGGCACGGATACGGTCTCCCACATGCACAGCCTGCCCATCCACACGCGGGGACGTGGGCATTTTAAAGCTATTTGTATTACAGAGTATTTCTCAATGCCCTGGTACCGAGTGCCAGCAAATCACCCAGCTCTTCTGTCCTTGGGGCTCTATGGGTCCGCACAAGCACCCATGCATCTCAGCCGCTGAACGAGGGCTCTGTCTTCTGGGTCCAAGGTAAGGAAATAACGCTGACCTGAACCCATGTAGAAACAGAAACTTCTCATCCAGTTCACATTGTTTTGCCACCTTTGTTTGTGTTTGGGTATTTGTCACAAGCAGCAAGGAACTCCTCCCAGTGACTTCAGGGGAAACAGGTGTGAGGGACTGGTGTGATTCCAGCATCTTCCTCCTACAGAGCAATGACGGGGAGCAGAGGCGCGCATCACAGGGAAAGGAGCCAGCATCGGGAATAGCCATCTGACAGTCGGAAAGGAGGCGTGCACTGCAGAGGGAGGTCTGCAGGGGGCTGCTTCCCTGGCCCGAGCGGGAGGCGGCGCTCAGGGGAGGGGCAGGGGACAGTGGGAGGCGGTGCAGAGGTCGAGCCTGCAGAACTCAGTCCTTGCTTGGATGTGGGAGCGGAAGAGAAAGGGAACTGGAGAAGCCTTGCATTTCTTGAGCCTGAGGGACTGCAAAGCTGGCACACTTGCAAAGTGCAGAAGGGGCTGTTCTGGGGGGAAGCGGGTCCTGCCTTTTAGGGGGCGGGTTTCCCACGGGAAGACGGCCCGAGTTGTAGCTATGGCTACACATGCTGTCCTAGCGACCACACCGGTTGTTTCTCTCACTCTTCGGTCCGTGGTGGCCAAGGCTTCTGTTCCGAAGGTCAGGCGCCTGGCCATTCTGGGTGCCCTGGGTGCCTGGATGCTGTTGCCAGATGGGTTCTTCAGGGGCAGATGTGGAGACAGGGCTTGGGACCAACACCCAGGAAAGGCAGGAGAAGAAGCAGGAGGGGGCCCAGAAGGAGGTCTCACGGAGAGGCAGGCTCCCCAAATCTTGGCCTGGGGAGCTGTGGAGGAAGTATTACCTGTCGGAGTGGCCTGTGTTGGGACAAAACTCCGGGGTCTGCCTTCCCCTGCACTGCTCGGTCCCCTGCACATGGTCTTGGGAGAGGTGGCTCTCTTTGACTGGTGCCAACCATAAAGGAGCTGACAGCTGGAGGCCATCTGCTGACCCCACTTCCGCAGCTGGGCAGTGGGTCCTCCTCTGACAGGGGATCCGGGTGGCGCATTTCTATCTCTACCACAGACCCCAAAGCTTGCAACTCGGCTTTATGGCCTCTCTTCACTTTGCCATGCTTTGCAGAGGGTTGCAGCTCGGAGAATCCTCAGGGAGAGGACAGATGGGATGCTAGCCCGTGTCCTCCATCCATCTTGCAGGCGACAGAACTAAGGCGCCGAGAGAGGAGTTGCCTTTCCTCAGCTCCGACGGTCAGTGAGTGGTGAACTCAGGACCAGCACTTGGTCTGGTCCTCTGGCTCCTTGGCCTGTGCTTGTCCCAAGAAAGGAGACTGCTCTGTGCCCAGCGGTTCACGGCAGGAAGACCATTGCTCCCAGCCTGTGGATGGGCTGCATGTTGTGACCCCAACTTGCCCATCAATGTCTGCAGGTTTGCTGGGAGCACGAGGACCTCACTTCCCAAAGCACTGAGTGAAGACGAACACCAGGCCTGGGGAAAAGACTGCGCTCAGATTTCCAGAAAGGTGGGGCCCAGAGGGCCTTAGAAGTCAGTCCTTCAGGTCCCCAGAGGAGTGCCCATAGAATAGTGTTGAGGACGATCTTCATGACCTTCCACTGTGTCTTCTGATTCTCCCCCATGGGGAGCCTCAGCGCCAGGAATGAACTGGATGCGCATCTCTGAAGCTATTGCTTCTTTTTTGTACATCGTGGGTGCAGTGAGTGCTGGGTGGGTTTAGGTTAGCGGAGTCAGAGCTTGATCTGAAGTGAAGATAGCTTAGCCCAAGCATACGAGACCTTATGGTATATGAGAAAGTATTACCCCCATTAGGTTTCATCCTCTTTTCAAACCTTTATTTTCCTTTCCCTCATATTCTCTCGTATTTTTTTTTAACTTTGCTCTATTTTACATGGTGTCTGTAAATTCCCTCAAGTGCTTGCTAGAATGATGTTATATGTAAACAACAATATTAATTATGACTTCTTTGGAGGCCTCCACTGTGTCTTGGGACTTGCTGCTCTGAGTGTTTTCTTCTGGGAAGAACTTCGCAGGGTGGAGCTGGGATGGCTCTCCAGGAGTGCCTGAACCTGGCCTTCCCCACCCTGCAGTGCAAATCTCAGTCCCATCTCTGAACCACTCTGGGTGAGGTTCAAATGCTGATGGTGTCCCGGGGGAGCCCGACTTGTTGAGGGGCCACCCAAACTCCAGTCTTCCACGGGTCCGCAGGGGGTCTCTCATTGCTCCCACTGCACCCTGTGTGTGGGGCTGCCTTGCTCCTTAAGATCCGGACATGATGCAAGTTCATAGCTGGAGGCAGTCTGGGTTTTGCAAGAGCACATCGAAGTTCTTCGAAGAATTTAAATATCTCCAGGTCCGTCAGTCCGGTTATAATTGCCTTCACTTTGGTGTTTCCACAAGCTGGGGCATTTTTTTCTTCTGAATGGCCCTAAGAGGCATTCTTTCCAAGCTGACGCATCAAAGCATCTGCTCCAGGTATGAAGATTCTCAAACGGCATGTCCTGTGGGTGAACACATCAGCGCCAGAGGGATCGAAAACGAGGCTTGTCCATCTTTCTGAAGAGCTGTCTCCATCGAGGCCAGGACTTACTGGGCCCCATACTGATTCTAGGGTTCCTGAATTCCTGTGCTTGGCCCTGACAATTCTGTACAAAAGGAATTATTCTCAGGGATCAAGAGGGTGAATGGCCAAAAGCAGAGTCACGCCACCCGAAAGCAGGGTGTTTATTATCCTTTGTCTTTGGGTTTTTTCAGATCACTGGGAAGGGGAGGGAAGGTAGTAATGAAATCTCTTGGCAATGACACGTACCTCGCATGAATTAACCTCTCTTAGCCTCTATTTCCTTGTCCGTCAAGGAGGGGGCAGGAATAATAACCCCCACCTTGCAGAGCTGGGGTAGAGAATAAGAGCTAGATGACAGAAAACCCCTGTACAGCACCTGTCACAGAGTCAAGACAGAGCTCCTTAAATGGTTACTATTTCGACTGTGTAAAAGGCACACAGTCATCTGAACGTGAAGACTTTGTGAACTCAGTGTGATGGGGGGGCCAGCACTAAGGGCAGGCCCCCCGCAGCTTGATGGAAATGCAATTTCTAATGAGATCCCCAGGTGACCATATGCGCATTACAGTTCGAGAATCATCGAATTCGGGGACATCAGTTCTACCTTTGAATCTGGTGGATTTGATGGCATTTCTCTTGGCAACCGACAGAGTCAGTAATGAGACCGTCAATCAAATCGAGGCAATATTTACCTACCACGGTCTGCACCCCCCCTCCTCCCCCCTCTCCCCCAACCCCCCGGGGCCAGTCTGACTCTGCAGTGGCTCTGGCCAGCATGCTGCTCGCCCCACTCACCTGTCTCCTGTGGTCCGCTGTGCGGTGGCCAAGGCTCCGGGGACATGAGGGCTCCTTGTTTACTGGGCAAGCACAGATAAGGTTTCTCACAGCCCCACCTGAGCTCCTGTGCCAAGGTAAACTTGCTCTCCAGAACTGCTCCCTGACTGGAAAATGTGTCAGTCTATTTACTTCTCACTCCCCCTGGAAAAAATGTTGGGGGGGGCAGGGAGTGGTTGGCCATGATATCATTCTTTCCACGGAACTTCTCAAAGGCATTGCATTTCACGGTGACTTCCAGGCACCGCCTGCGTTTCGCTGCGCAGCGCGGAACAGAACTGGCCAGGAGCACGCGTCTCTCTTCCTTCTCCCCAGCACTCTGCCCCCTCCCCTCCCCTCTCTCTGGGGTTTTTACTCCCTGCGGGTTTTGCAGGCAGCCCTGGAAAGGAACCTGGAAGCCAAGAGGTGGGTGAGAGAGTTCTCCCTAGCATTTCTCACAGAGGTGGAAGGAGCCAGGAAGGGGACCCCAGGGGGGCAAGTCTGCTGCTTTCAGACACATCAGAGAATTGGGAAGGAAGAGCAAACCAGTTTTCTAAAAGCCATACAAAGGGTCAGCAACAGGTGGGGGCACTGCTGCATTCCTCAGTTCTTGTTTACACTTCTCTGGAGAAGAGCTAAGGCTTTCTAAGTGGGTATCTGGGGCCCGCAAGCCACTGAGAGATGCTGCAGGCTGGCACACAGCACTGGAGGGAAGCTGGACTCGGGCTGGGAGGGCGAGCCCATCACTCCTTCCCCTCAGCAAGATCTCCTGCAGATCAACATTGCTTCCATCTCAGGTCTGAGGTACTTACTAAGAAAATAAGAATTAATAAAATAAGAGCAGGACCTTGCACAGACCAGTAAAGATAATGTGCTATGGGCTGAGAAATAGGATTAATCCAGTCCAAATTAAGAACTTTTAAATTTTTATTTGTAATTTTTCAATATGTAGATAAAATCAGAGACTAATGATACAGGGAACCCCTGTGAACCAACTTCCCAGCTGTATCCATCAGGAAAGACTTGGTTGTGCTGTGCTAACAAACATCCTCAAATCTCAAAGGCTGGGAGCAACAAAGCTTACCCATCCACCTGTCCTCCACCGGCTGCCTGGAGACATGGTGTCTGCTCAGGTACTGGGGAAGAGAGAAGGTCTGACTCTGCGTGGCCATGTTGGCCAAAACTTTTGTGCACTGGTTCATGAGGCCAGAAACAGAAGTCACTTCCACTCCAGTTCACCAGCCACAGTAAGCCTCTAGGTCACCGCTAACTTCAGAGTGAATGGGAAAGGCAATCCTACCATGGGCCTGGAAGGCAGAGAGCCAGATACATTCGGTGGGCAGCGTTAATAATGGCCACATCAGCTTTAGCAAATATTAGCATATTGCCTTATTTGCTTCAGGTCTTTCTACTGCAAAGAAAGTAAATATTAGAGCTACAACGGAGTTCCCCTCTGTACTCCTCTCCAGCACATCTCCTTCACTTCCCAGGGCTGAGCACTGTTTTGAATTCGGTGTTAGTCATCCTCATGCATGTTTTTATATTTTGTTACTATTTTTATTGCATTTTGCATGTATCCATAAGCATTATAAAGTATTACTTATACGCCCTGCCAGCTTTTAAGCTACATACATGTATATATACAGTATCAGAATCTTCTGCAGTGTTCATTTCTCCCTTAGCATTACAATTGCGAGATTTTTATCTATGCTGGCCCATGCTGTACTGTACTCCATTGTATAACTATAATAGGATTTAGTTATCCATTTTCTTGCTGATGGACATTTAGGTGGTTTCCAAGCTACAGCAAACATCTTAATACATGTCTTCTTGTGCCCACATACAAGACTAGATGCCTAGGAGTAGAACTTCTGGACATGACCACCTACGACTTTACTAGTTATTGCCAATTTTACGGTCCCACTAGGCGGGAGTGAATTTCCGTGATTTAACAGCTCTGCCAACACTTGGCATTGGCTGACTTAAATTTTGGCTGATCTGGTAGATGTAAATGATATTTTACTGCTGTTTTGATTTGTATCTCTTTGCTTAATAGTGGAAGCAAGCATCTTTTTGTATTTCTACTGACCTTCTGGGGTTCCTTCTCTACAAATTGATAGTTTATATTCTTTGCCCATTTCTTCCCAAGTGCTGTTTATCTTTTTCTAATTAATTTGAGAGATTTCTTTACTTGTTACACTCACCGCAAGTGCCTTCTCTCAGGGTACGGCTTGTTTTTCACTTTGTTATAATGGCCTTTTGTTATGAAGAAGTTAATTTTTACGAAGTCAAAATTATCGATTATTTTTATGTTCTCTTTTTTGTTTGCTTTCTTAAAGAGGAATTGTTCATTATCTTAGGGTCATGAAGAATTTTTCTGTATTTTCACTCTGTGCTTTAAAGTTTTGCTTTTTGTTTTTAGTTCTTTAATCTACAGAGGGTTGATCTAAGGCAGAAATCTAATTTTGTATTTTCCATATGGATAAAAGTCATTCCTAGGACTCATTTATTAAATAGACCACCCTCTCCCCACACATTTGTAATATCTCTGCTTGGTATTGTTTCCAAACACGGGTGGGCCCGTGGTTAGGCTTTCTGTTCTGTTCCAAGGTTTATCCTTTTGCCCAAACTCTGTTGTCTTCATTACGAAATATTTTGATAATAAATCTTGATCTGGTAGGGCAAGTTCTTCCATGTTCTACTTTTTCAAAATTGCTTCTCAGTTATTCTTGGCCCTTTGCTCTTCCAAATCCATTTTGAGAAATCAATTTCTTCCAAATCAGATTATCTAGTTCCAAACAAAACAAAACAAAACACCCTGTTAGGCTTCAAATAAAATTCTATTGATGAATTTGACAACTTTATGATTTTGAGTGTTCCCATTCATATTCTTTTGTATGGCATGTGCTTATGATTTTGCAGCCCTCAATAGACCCTCATTTCCTCCTCTGCTCCCCTCTCCAACCCTTCTGACCTTGACTCAAACATTGCTTACTTCCTGTTTCTTATTGTAGCTTCAGTATCTTTACTTCCAGTACTCACCTCTTTCAAAGGTCTCCTAATTCTTCTTTTCAGCGTGCAACAGGTAAAACCCAGACACACATTATAATGATAAGGGGGTAGAAGAGGGGTTCTTATAGTCTCCTGGGAGGACATACGACAGCATAATTACATATGAGGGGGTGCACAATAATCTTTTCTGAGCTTCAGGAGGTAGCATGGGTAGTAGTTAAGAGGCCAGACTGCTAAGTTTGAATCTCTATCATAAGCTCTATCATTTACCGACTCAAATCTTGGGCAAATTACTTAGTGTCTCTGTGCCTCAGTTCTCCCTTCTGTAATGTAGGGGTAAAAATATTAATTATCTCATAATATTATTATGAGAAATAAACAAGTTAATGTATTTAAAGTACTTGGAACAGTGCCTGGTATACTGTGTTATCAGTTATTGTCATTACTAAGATAGGATTTCCAGAGCACATTGGAAATATGACTAGTTTGAATGTTCAAACTAGACAATGTCAGAGTGACTCATTAATCCTAACACAGAACAAAGAAGTTGCTGGTTAGCATTGTATCTTCTCAGTAAGCAGATGGGCACTATCCACATAATTGAAGGTTTAATCATTAGTGACCCTCCCTGGTGCTAGTTTAGTGTTAACTATGTTGTAAATTTCACAGAATCGATGAGTTTAGGGTTGGGTGGTGCCCAAGATAATCCAATCCAATTTCCCACCTCATACTTGAAGTCTCTTCAAATAAAGCTATACAAAAGGAAGACTTTTATGAAAGATCAGAAAGGCAGGAATATTGAAAGAATATCAAACCTATTTTAAAAATAAAAAAGAGGAGATGGTAGAAAATCACATGAATCGATAAAGGTTCAAAGTTTGCTCGGAGTAGCCAGTAAGAGAAGCCAAAAGTGAAAGGGTGTTTTCTAAAAGCTGATAGCCTAGGTACAGGAGAGAGAGTCCTAGCCAGAAAAATGTCTGTGCCTTGGAAACCAAGGGAGTATTTGTCAGGATTATACATTACTGCCTATGTGGGCTATTTGAGGCGTTTGGAAGATGTCCTTCCCCCTCCTTGCCACCAGGCTCCAGGGGACCTGACATTTCCCACCACTGTTACCCTCTTTGGGTTAAGACTTTGGGTGCCCTATTGAAAGTATATTTTCTATATATATTTCTTCTATATATAGAGAGAGAGAGCTCATGAGGAGTAAACCCATATCAGCTAGGAGACCCTTAAGACTGAATTCCTCAGCATAGGCCTAGCTGAGAGCAGGATCGTAAGGTACAAACGCAGTAAAGGAAGTTCTGCTGGGCAGAGGGGAAGGGAAATGCTCAGAGTATGGGGCCCTCTCACAAGCAGGGGAGACCAGAATGGGAACTCAGTGAAACCAAAGGAGGGGAGGATGTGGGGGATGGAGTGGGGAAATACAGTACAAAGTTGTGGTTGAGCATGTGGGAGGGGAGAGTGAAGAGTGGATGGAATCACCAGCCTAGAGTTGCTGCTCCATCTGAAAGGAAGCTGGCTCTGGCCCCCAGAAGCTTCTTCCCAGTGATCTGGAGAGCCACAGACCTGCGGGGAGTCTTGACCCCCTCTAAGGAAGCAGGATTTAAATCAAGGACTCCACATCACCAAGGGGGAATCTGCCTTCACAACTCAGACCCAAGGGCTAGAGGTTCTTAGGTGCATCATGATGTGTCCCTGAAGACAGTGACACCTTCTTACGTGCAGCTCTTCACACTTACAGAGCACTTAAACATCTCTTTTGCAGCTCTTCACACCCTGACAAGCTGGACAAGGCAATGTCATTATCCCCAAGTTATAGAAGAGAAAACTGAGGGTCAAAGAGCAGGACAACTTGCCATAGGTTCCATAGCTGGATAGGAAAAAGTCAGGCCAGTTTCACCTCGGGATCCCCACCACTGTCAGAATAGAGCTCGAGGCCAGAATTGGTTGTGGATATGGCAGTCGTTATCTCAGAGCATGGCTGGGCCAGGCTGGCTGCCCCAAGTGCATTCCCACAGGGAGGGATCTGCCAAAGGGGCTGCCCCCCCATAAAGGTCATGCATCTGGGTGTGGGCACACAGTATTGTCACGAATCTTGATTGCCGCCCTGGCCCCAGAGCACCTCATGCTCTGGCTCTGTGGCCTCTCCCACTCCTCCATTCTCTTAGTTCATTCATTCATTCATTTAACACACAGTGGGCACTGATGCACTAGGATTACAGACAGAAAATCGGACCCTATCATTGCCTCCCACAGTGTGGTGGAGGCAGGCAGTACCTAAACAGAAACAGTACCTAAACAGAAAAGGGCAACAAAATGTTGAGTCTTTTCAGAGAGGGAGGGTAGTGCAGTGATTAGGATCAGACTCTGGAGCCAGAATGGGAAAATAAATTATGGAGAGAGGGTATATTTGAAGGTAGACTTTGACTGAGACTTTCTTAGAAATAAAGAAAATATAAAACTTCAGGTTGAAAGGACATAGTGTTAAACAAGATACATAAAAAGGAACTCACAGCTGGATATATTGTAGTGAAATTTAAGAACATTAATGACAGAGAGAAAATTCTCAAAACATCTATAAAGAAAAAGTAGATCAACTAAAAAAGAAAAAGAATTGGGGTACCTGGGTGGTTCAGTTGGTTAAGCATCTGACTCTTGGCTTTGGCTCAGGTTGTGATCTCAGGGTGGTGGGACCGAGCCACAAGACAGGCTCCACACTCTGTGCAGAGTCTGCTTGGGACTCTCTCTCCCTACCCCTCTGCTCCTCCCCACCCCCCCAAAGTGAATTAATAAATCTGTAAAAAATAAAAAATAAGGAAAAAGGAAAAAGAATCAGCATGACATGAAACCCCAATAACAGAACAGGACACAGACAATGAAGTAATATTTTAAAGTGTTGATGGAAAAAGAATTCAAATCTAGAATTTTATATCCAGCTGAAGTACTATTTAAATGTAAGTAAAATAAAAATAATACCAGGTATATGAGGCTTCAGTAGCTTAACCAAAAACCCCTTTTTGAAACATTCTTGGAGCTAATTTTTTAGTGCAGGAAGGAAGCTAGATAAAAGCTCCAGAATAAACCTGAAGAAGAAGAGGAGGAGGAGGAGGAGGAGAAGTGGAAGAGCAGGGGAGGAAGAAGAGGAAGAAGAACAAGAAAAAGAAGAAGATGGAGGAGGAGGAGAAAAGGAAGGAAGGAAGGGAAGAAAACATATAGGTAAGGTCAAAAATCAGAGAAGTAGACTAGAGCAACAACAATACATTAAACTAGCTGGTGTTTTGAAAAGATTATAAAATATACAAATACATGCCAAAATTAATGGGGGAAAGACAGAGAAGATAAACAAGGAATAAACACTGAAAGAAACCACAAACACAACAGAAAGTTTTAGACTAACAATATTATGAAGAACTGTAATTAGGAGACAATAAAATTGATGTAATTTTGGCAAAATGTGATTTCCAAAATTAGAATAAGAATAAATAGCACACTGGGCACCTGGGTGGCTCAGTTGGTTAAGCAACTGCCTTCGGCTCAGGTCATGATCCTGGAGTTCCGGGATTGAGTCCCGCATCGGGCTCCCTGCTCAGTGAGGAGCCTGCTTCTCCCTCTGACCCTCCCCCCTCTCATGTACTCTCTCTCATTCTCGCTCTCTCAAATAAATAAATAAATCTTAAAAAAAAAAAAAAGAAGAATATTTAAAAAAAAAAAAAAAGAATAAATAGCACACTGAGTTGCAAGGACCCAGTTAAGAATTACAACACAATGAAAGACCTCCCTCTTCCTGAAAAGCCCTAGGCTCAGATGGTTTTACAGAAAAGTTCCACCCACTTCTAAGGAGGAGATAATCACATGAGATATATAAATTGTTCTAGAAACTAGAAATAGGTTTCTCCTTTGTTATAAGATTGGTATAACCTTTATTACAAAGTCAGATAAGGATTGTAAAAACAAAAAAACTATGATGCTATTTCATATTTGAATCTAGATAGGAAAATTATAAATAAAATATTAGTTAACTGTATCCCACCATGTATTTAAAGAGTTATGAGAAATTAAGGTTTATCCTAGAATATGGGAAACTTTAACTTGAGGAAAAAATACTATTAAGGTAGGGGCGCCTGGGTGGCTCAGTCGTTAGGTGTTTGCCTTGGGCTCAGGGCATGATCCCAGGGTCCTGGGATCGAGCCCCGCAGCGGGCTCCCTGCTTGGCGGGAAGCCTGCTTCTCCCTCTCCCACTCCCCCTGCTTGTGTTCCTGCTCTCGTTATCTCTCTCTCTGTCAGATAAATAAATAAAATCTTTAATAAAAAAAAATTTAAGGTAGTTTTTACCATTAATGAGCTAAAGAAGAAAAATTTCATGCATTTCAAGCATTTGATGAACACCTCTTTTTGACAACTGAGGACTGACCTTTGAATTAAAAAAATATATCTCACAGAACTAGAGTAAATGTATATTTTCTCAACTTGATGAAGACTATTTATTGAGTATCTACAGCAAATACAGTATATGGAGAAAGTTTAGATGCATCCCTGCCAGCCCAGGTACCTGCCCTCACTGCTGTGGACTAGCCCAGTACTGGAGGCTTAACCACAGCAATATAATCAGAAGAAAGAAGAGCTAGAGGCAGGAAAGAGAACTATGACTGACCACACTGAAAACAGAACATAATCAACAAATTATTGGTAGTAATACAAAAGCTCAGCCAGTTTGCTGAATAAAGATAATATCATAAAGATGAATATATTTCCTCTACATCAGCAATGGAAAGTATGTTAAAATCGAAAATATTTTTAGAGTGTACAATTTGGGGGCACCTGGATAAAGAAGTGGTATATATATGGGTACACACACACACACACACAATGGAATATTATTCAGCAATGAGAAAGAAGGACACCCTGCCATTTGTGACAACACGGATGGAACTTGAGCACCTTATGCTAAGTGAAACAAGTCAGAGAGAGAAGGATAAATACTGTATGATACCACTTATATGCGAAATCTACAAAAGCTAACTCATGGAAAAAGACTAATGGTGTTTACCGAGGGCTGGAGGGTGGGGGACATGGGTAGATGTTGGTCAAAGAGTATAAACTTCCAGTCACAAGATGAGTAAGTCAGTCCTGGGGAATCTGCTGCATGGTGATTATAGTTAATAATTCTGTATTATATACTTGGAAGTTGCTAAGAGAGTAAAATTTAAATGTTTTCCCCACAAAAAAAGAGATGGTAATTACGCGATATGAGGGAGCTGTTAGCTAACACTAGGGTGGTAATCATTTTGCAATATATAAGTGTATCAAATCAATACTCCTGTACACCTTAAACTTACACAATGTTATTATGTCCATTATATCTCAATAAACTGGCGGGGAGACTTGAGTGTGCATAGAAATCACCTGGAGATCTTCTTAAAATGCAGATCTAATTCAGTAGAACCAGATGTGCCTGGTATTCTGCACATGCTTCTAACATGCTCCCGAGTGATGGCAATTCTGCTGGTCTGGGGACCACATCGTGGGTAGAAATACAGTAGATCTGCACTGTCCAGTTGGCAACCACTAGCCACATGAGTATATTTCAATTTTATTTTAAATTAATTAAATCTAAAATTTAGCTCCTCTGTCACACAAGCCACATTGCAACTCTTAATAGCCACATGTCACCAGTGGTTACCATATTGAACAGCACAAAAAATACAGAACACTTCCATTATTATGGACTGTTCCATTGGACATCACTGGTCTATCATTCAACTATTAGAATATGTAAAACTTGTATAGAGGATCAAGACAAGAGGATCAAAGCAAGAGTGTCAATGATTTACTGTCAGTCTTATAAGAAGTTAACTTGGACTTTTAGGTGATGACTGAGGACTGACCGAAAGTGACTGATTCTGAACATCACTGTCACTGCATTGGACGCAGGAGTCAAAAGCATGTACAATAAATAAGCAAATCATACAAAATGATCCAGGAAACACCTCCAAGGCGAGAATTAAGATCCAGAGTAATATAAAACAAATCAGAAGCCAATAAGAATAAAACAAATGAAATAGGTAAAGTAACAAGTTATATATTTCAGGATGGCAGGAGTGGGGAATGAGGAAAGCTTATAAATCACTAGGAATATAGCAGAAGAAGGACCAGAGGTTAGGGTTCATGGGTTGAAAACAACAATACCAAAAAAGAAACACTTGTTGAAAGCATCACAGACATAGTAGTGGTCAGAAATGTATCTGGCTCTAGTTTCCAAATGAATGAATGAACGAACGAACGAATTAATCACCCAACCAACCAAACTGGAGGGAGTGCCGATTTGGGGGCTGAGAAGGAGTGTGGAGGAGCAGGAATACAAATTGCGGATGATGCGAAGACGAAATGGAAGAAATTAAACCAGCCAGAGAGGGTCTTTGCACAGCTTGATAATGGTGACACATCATAAGTTGAGAATGATGACCTGACATTTCTATACCAGAAATTTAAAAAGAAAGAAAGATCAGATGAGGAGGGATTCGAGATCTCTGTTGGTGGAAACATTAGGGCAGGGTGGTGTCTCTAGGGCCCTAAGACCAGATTCTGCATTTGTTTTTTAACCACTGTATGATTTTGGACAAATCAGTTAAGCTGGCAACATTTCTTCATCTTAAAAAATGGGGTTAAAGGCAAATCTGTCCTACCTGCCTCTCAGGATTGTTAGCCTGATAAATAAAACCATGAATGTGACCTGAAGTTGCGCCCTTGGGCAGAAGCATGAAGGGTTGTTCCTGTGATGACTGCCGGTTCCGGTGAGCAGCCAGAAGGCTTTGGGCTCTGTGGTCTCCCTCTTGCCTTTCAGTTCTGAGCTGTGTGGCCTGGAGGGGACTCTGCCCATGGTCCCTGGGGCAGAGGGAGCTGGGTCACATCGTTGATCCTCATGCTTCTCAGCTGCTGCCCAGGGAGGTTCAGGGCTTTCCTCTGAGGACAAAGGACCCCAGGGGACAGAGAGCCCACTGGAGGCACCCCACACTGGGCTGGAGTGTCCAAAGCTCAGGGCGACCCCTACCGGAGACTGGAGGCAGGGGCATCCCCTTCCCCCTCTGCTCAACCCCTCAGGGCCAGCCGGCGCCCCCTCCCCCAGCTCCCCAGCACAGGCGTCCACAGGGTCACCATGTCATCAGCTCACATGCTAGTGAGAGACGATTTTAGGGGAGCTACCTGCGAACTCACCTCAACTAACCTGTGTGCGACTTGCAAGGACACGTTACAGTCTGCAAAGTGCTTTTACCCAACCATTCCAATAGTCCTGTGAGGAGGTTGTTAGGATCTATTTTTCCTTGATGTGGGAGCAGGCAGAGAGAGGAGAGAGGACACGGGAAAGATGACATGGCAGACGGATGACCCAAGTTTTAGATCGTCTGTATTCAAATCCTGTGCTGCTGTAGGCCTTCTGGGGGCACCCTCCCAACTTCTGTGGGCAGGCCACAGAGGGGAGGGCTTTTCTTTCCATGCCCCTGGCTCTCAGATGCACGCTGCCTGAAACTGGCCTTTCCAGTCCACACGGGCTGTCCTGCTTTTCCTCTGGGTTCTCTGTCCCGAGAAGAGGTCTTACTTTACTTACTTCTGGGGCCAACCTGGGCTTTAAAAGGATGGAAGCATCGAGAATGGCAGGCTTCTGCCGCCTCCTGGTGACTCATGAGCATTGCGCTGGCAGCTAACCCATTGCTGAATTCCACGAAATCCACTTCTTTGAGCTCATTTTCTTTCTTAAAGGTAAATACTCTGGGGAATTTTTCAGTTTCTACTGTGTCTGAACAGATTACAAATCATGATATCATACTATGAGCCTCAGATGGAAAGTCAGGAAACCTGACTCAAACCACTTGTCTTTTGTGGGATATTGGGCAAATCTTTGAGCCTCAGTTTCCTTATTTGTAAAGTGGGAATGCTGTCTGCACACTGGAGGGGTTGTGCGGGTTGAGTGGTGGGACATACCTGAGGGTCCTGGAGCGGGGCTCGAGAAAAGTCCCAGGTTCTATTGGCTCATCCTCCTGGCTCTGCAGAACTGTCGCTGCCCGTGGACTTGCACTGAACTCAAGTCAAGTATTTCAAAGAACTGTAGAATTGGAAGGCAGTGAAAGGCAGGCCACAAAGTGGTTTTCAGAGGTTCCCTATAAGGCTCCTTAGAAGTCGCCAACACCCCAAGCATTGCTCAAAACTCCTGTTCCAAAACCTCACCTCATCTCCACTGGGAAAAGGTTTCCAGAGCAAAACTCGCCTCTCACGAAGTAGTCCATTTCCTCTTTGAGCAGCTCTGCCTGGGAGCAGGCACTGTGGGGCCCCTCCTTGACTACACTTGCCGAGTTCCACAAGTGAGGTCAGAGGGCAGGCTTGGGGCCTGTGCGGTATTCTGCCAAAAATCCATTTGCTTTCTCCTTCGGTGGATTAAATTGGGGGCTACCTGGTTTTGCCTTTATTAAAATATCTCATTCTGAATTTCCCCGCTGTGGAGTGGCTTTGGAGTAATAGACTCCTGCCTTACAAAGCAGGAGATCTTGAGTGGGTCTCTTGGCCATTCATAGCTCCATGTGGAGTCCATACCTTGGCGCCCACAGCACGGGACTGCCATTGCTGAGAGGTAATCTGGGGACAGGCAAGCCTGGATGGGGTGAGGGATGGAGAGCAGTGAGGGAACGAGTTGAGGCCATCTGGGAAGAAGAGCACCCAAAGCTGGAGGTTGGAGAAGCATCCAGAAAAGGAGTAAGAGGACAGTGGAAGACGGTGTGGCCGTCATTTGACAGTTTGGCAGAGGAGATGCTGAAAATCATCTCATTCTCAGCCTGGGCCACTTATGGGAACCATAAGAAGTCACCCAGCCCGGAAGGCTACACAGTTCCCCGTGTTCTTACTGAACCTGAGTTCGGACTTTCCGGGAGGAAGGGGGAGGGAAAGGAATGACCATGGAGGACCAGGTCCCCCGACTCCTGCCTCTCCTTCTATGGGTGATTACAGCAACATTTCCCTATTGTGCTACTTGTGGGGCCTCTAGATGAAATAAATTCTGCATGTTTTATCCCCCCTGCTAGATAGTCGGTGCCTTCAGGGTAGGACCTGGGACTGATTTCCTCATGTCTCTGGAACCTCACAGAGTGCCTGGTATACAGCAGGTGCACAAAAATGCCTGTTGCATTTAAATGGCCAGCAAGTCATCTGAGTCATTTGAAGTTGGAAACCTGACATCATTCAGTCTAGTAGCCCTCAAACCTGGATGTGCATTAGAATTATCTTGGGAGCGGGGCGCCTGGGTGGCTCAGTCGTTAAGCGTCTGCCTTCGGCTCAGGTCATGATCCCAGGGTCTTGGGATCGAGCCCTGCATCGGGCTCCCTGCTCGACGGGAAGCCTGCTTCTCCCTCTCCCGCTCCCCCTGCTTGTGTTCCCTCTCTCTCTGTGTCTCTCTCTGTCAAATAAATAAATAAAATCTTTAAAAAATAAAAATATTTAAAAAAAAAAGAATTATCGTGGGAGCTTTAAAAAAAAAAAAATTAGTGCCCTAGTCCCTACTCAGACCAATTAAATCAGAATCTTGATAGCAAGATTTTCAAAGTTTAAATGCCCAGAGAGAGGGGCGCCTGGGTGGCTCAGTCGTTAAGCGTCTGCCTTCGCCTCAGGTCATGATCCCAGTGCCCTGGGATCGAATCCCACATGGGGCTCCCTGCTCAGCTGGAAGCCTACTTCTCCCTTGCCCATTCCCCCTGCTTGTGTTCCTGCTCTCTCTATCTCTGTCTCTGTCAAATAAATAAATAAAATCTTAAAAATAAATAAATAAATAAATAAATAAATAAATGCCCAGAGAGAACTCATTACCTGAAGGCAGGAGGCAGTGAATCCTTTTATAAAGCTGAGAATCGCTTTCTAATGCATGATAATTACCCATTGTATTATGTTTGAGTTATCTTGTAATGCATTTTCTTAAAGTAGAGCCCATGTACACAAAATATATAGAACTTGAAATTTTTAAAAAGGAGCTAGGAAATACAAAAGGGAAAAAGATAATTTTCACTGGGTATTTAGAGACTTGCCCATTCGTGGAATGGCAAAAGATGCAGTATAATATAGTGCTTGAGCTGAGTATTTTTTAAAGGGGGAGAAATAAGGCTAGGGATGGAACTGAGTAAGAGAAAGAAGACCCCCACCTTCCAGTAAGAGTCTCTGTATGACCTGTTGGGGCAGATCCTGGTCCACAAACACCTTCTTTGGAAATCTGTGTGTATCTGAATATCCTTATGTTTAAATGGGGTAGAGCGATATAAATCTAAATGTGGGTTTTAGTTATATTGAAGGATCTGCTAAGAGAAGCTTGCGTGGCCAGCGCCTTGCCTGCATACACCCAGCTGCACGAAGTTGGCAGAGAGGATCTGCTGATCACAGCACTTCGGGACTAGAGCACGGTGGGAACAGGAAGCCCCTTGACACCTGTTTCTCTAAGCGTGGTCCTGAACCAGCAGCATGCACCTCATCTGCTGGTCCCTAGAACTACTGGTCGGAATCTGCATCATGGCAAGATTCCTGGGAGATTGACAAACACACGCAAGTTAAGAAGCACTGCGCCTTGGGGCGCCTGGGTGGCTCAGTCGGTTAAGCGTCTGCCTTCGGCTCAGGTCATGATCCCAGGGTCCTGGGATCGAGCCCCGCATCGGGCTCCCTGCTCTGCGGGACGCCTGCTTCTCCCTCTCCCACTCCCCCTACTTGTGTTCCCTCTCTCGCTGTGTCTCTCTCTGTCAAATAAATAAATAAAATCTTTAAAAAACAAAAAAAAGAAGAAGCACTGCGCCTTGAAGGGTGCCCCACTTCCCGTCTTCTGAAGACCACCTCCGGCGTCACATGGAGAGGCTTGATCTTTTCTTACTCGCCCCAGTAGCCAGTATGTACCTCTTCCAATATTTGAACCACCTTTCTGAGCCCTCCTGGTTTTTTCTGTCTGTAGGGAACAGAAAAAAGAAAGGAAATAGCTATCATCACTGATCTGAGGCCCAGAGGGAGAGAGGAAGAGATCAAAAGTCAACATCTGTGATTCTGCAAATAGAAAATGAGATGTTTCCCAGGCGGGCCTGGAAGGAGCTCTCGGGTGCGTGGCTGGTCCTCTGTGGTCCCATCTGAGGTGGCTGGGCTCCATCCAGAGCCTTTAAAGGCAACCTCAGGGCTGCCCGTGCCGGGGCAGTGGGAATGCTCAGGCAAGCTCCTGGGGAAACGTGGGGCAGATCTGCCAAGGCGCAGGTACCAGCAGGGCGGGTCCCTGGCAGCTCCTCTGCTCACTGGAGACCTTCAAGCAGGAGAAGGATGACATAGCCCCTGGATATAGGACACTCTGTACAGGTAACAGGCCAGTTACCTCCTCCTCATCCCCAGCTCTGAGCCAGTGCCTTGTCCTTCCTCTGTCTGGGGACCAGGTCTATCTAGAAAGTGATATAGAGTCTCAAGCCTTCTTTCTGGCGTTCTTGTAAAGTTGTTTCTCTGAGGGAAGAGCCGGAGTGTTCCAGAGCAGCCAGCACGCTGGGCTGGGGCCAGATATGGAGGGTTGGAGGACTGAGGGGATTAGTTGCTCTCCCAGAAATCCCTGTGAGCCATAGCTGGACGGGTATCCCCAGGAGGGCCCCCCACACTCTCCCAGTGTGCCCCTCCTCTTTTAATCGATGATACTCAAGGTAATCTGTTCTATAGGACAAGGTGCCCGTGAACCTTTGTTCTCCTTCAGCACCACACTTGGGTCAAGGCTGTGCATGCCCTTCCTTCCCATAGCCGGGGACCTCCCACCAGACAGGCTCACCTTGGCTCAGATGCAGTTTCCCTTTCCTTGTTCTGGATTCAGGCAAAGAGCGAGCCTCAGGAACATGGATTCCCCCTGGAGGGCTCCTATGGGGAGGGTGTTGGGGAGCTGTGCTGTATGCCATGAGGGGTCCTCCCCACCCTGCATCTCCTCACCATGGATGTAGAGGAGGCTGGGGGCAATTCGGTCCCGAGTGGCCCTGATCTGAGTGCTCACTGCTGCCTGGGGTTGTGCCTTAATTACTTAAGAAGCGGAGCTCGGTATTACTGAGCAACTATTCATTTCTGACCCAGAACCAGCCAAACAAGCAAAAATGGACGCACTCCTGGCTTGCAGGTTGAGAGTGGAAAAGAAATACTTTCTTTCTTTGGCTATTTTTTTTCTAGACGTTCAAGTCATGGTTTATTTGTGGATAAAACTTTAAATGTTGGTGCTCTTTAACCAGGAATTCCATCCTCCTGAGGACATATTCAGGGATATGAACACAGGGCCACACAGATGTTCCCGACATTGCCCCTTAAGATTACGTAATGTTCAACAAAGTAGCATAAATGTTCAATGAAAGTAGCAGAAATGTGGGGCGCCTGGGTGGCTCAGTTGGTTAGGCGACTGCCTTCGGCTCAGGTCATGATCCTGGAGTCCCGGGATCGAGTCCCGCATTGGGCTCCCTGCTCGGCAGGGAGTCTGCTTCTCCCTCTGACCCTCCTCCCTCTCATGCTCTCTGTCTCTCATTCTCTCTCTCTCAAATAAATAAACAAAATCTTAAAAAAAAAAAAAAGTAGCATAAATGTTCAACAGCAAGGACATGGTTAAATAAATTATGGTTCAGCTTTATGGGGGGACAATGATACCCAATAAAGGTAATAATATTTCCAAGAATTTTAATGACTGGGAATATACAAGAATCACGTGAATAGAAAAAAGTGGGATTCAGAACTGTATAAAAAATTAACAACTGTGAAACTATATATAATGTGGATGCTTATATATGTGTGTGTATAATATATAAGAGAAAAAAGACCAAATCCTAAATATGAAAAGAACCTATTTATAGATTATTTAATTATGGTTTTATTTGTTTACTTGTTTCCTTATGTAATCTTTTCTATATTTTTCACGTTTTCTTGTCAGAATTTAAAAATGTTTTCTCGGGAGGGAAATCTGTTTGTATAAAAGGCCCTCCTTGCTCTCTCAGGGTCCCCACTGTGCAGGCTGCCTGGCGCCTGGCTCCCCTCCTCAGTGAGGGGCACAGCGGAGGCCCCACCCTCCTGCTCATGCCCAGCTGTCTTCTGCTTCTCCAAATCCGAGCCAGCTGTGTGTTTGGGTCTGTGGGCCACCAACCAATCCTGCATGTCACCTGCGTCACTAAAAGGAAGCAAGGCAAATGCGAGCTCCAGTTTCTCTCCGAGGGTCCCCACCTGTCTTTGTGGGTCCTGGTTTGTCCTTTTCCCCCGACTCCAGGTCGATCTTCCCTTTCCACCTGCCAGTCCTAGGGACTTTAGGCCCAGCACCTGATGCAGGAATAACCACTTTATGTAGACTGCTCAACCAGCATCCACAATTGCATGAGATCTAATCCCCCCAAATACCTTTATTTCATATCAGTCATAGAGGTTCTGCCTCTCTGATCAGACCCACTGGATATAGTGAGGGGCTCAAAGACACACAGACAAATGCCAGGTCCAGGTGTTGATACCTAGACAAGCTACAAAGGCTGAACTTCTTCTATAACAGCATGCTCCCCCCACCTCCGTCTTTCAATCTTCAACACCCGGGGTTATCTGTTCTATGGGACAATTGGCCCCATTTCTGCAGCAAGTCAATAGCATGGAGAAAAAATAGGAGTGAAGAAGAGGGGAGAATGGATTGCTAGGTTATAAGAGAAATAAAAGACAGAATATCCAATGCAAGGTGTGGCTACATCCTGATTAGAATAAACCATCTTTGAAGAGATACCTTTTAGATAAATGGGGAAATCTGGGCTAGACACTAGATATTGGATCATCAGGGAATTACAGCTCATTTTGGTAGGTGTGACAGTGACATCGGAGTTCTGTAGGAAAATTTCTCATTTTTGAGATACATTCCAAAATGACACAGTGCTGGGGTTTGTGTTAAAATATTTTGGCAAAGAGGAAAAAAGGAAAAAGGGATAAATGAAGCAGGGGTGGAACATTTCTGATGATTGTTGAATTTGGGTGACAGATAACGGAGGTTCTTTTTACCTTTTGCTCTCTTTTTTGGATATGTTTAAATCAGCCCTGTTGGGCACCTGGATGGCTCAGTCGGTGAAGCGTCTGCCTTGGGCTCAGGTCATGATCCTGGAGTCCCAGGGATCCAGCCCCACATCGGGCTCCCTGCTCAGCGGGGGAGTCTGCTTCTCCCTCTGGCCCTTCCCCCTCTCGTGCTCTCTCGCGCTCTCTCTCTCAAATAAATAAATATTTTTTTAAAAAATAAATCAGTCCTGGGGCGCCTGGGTGGCTCAGTTGGTTAAGCGACTGCCTTCAGCTCAGGTCATGATCCCAAGGTCCTGGGATCGAGTCCCGCATCGGGCTCCCTGCTCTGCGGGGAGCCTGCTGCTTCTCCCTCTCCCACTCCCCCTGCTTGTGTTCCCTCTCTCGCTGTGTCTCTCTCTGTCAAATAAATAAATAAAATCTTTAAATAAATAAATAAATAAAATAAATCAGTCCTGTGTTTTGGGGCACATGGTGGGGTTTGGGCCTCCAGCTGCATCCCTGCCTGAGAACAGAGTGGGGAGCCACGCTAAATTCTTGATGCTCAGGATGCGTTCCGCCAGGGGTACAGTGCTCCAGGTGTCCTTTCCCCAGATGTTTCCCAAAGCTGCCGGGACAGAGGAGTACAGGTGTGGGGTGTCCCTTGTCCCGCCGCCTCTATGGCTGTTGAATGTGCTGTTCTTAGCTGAGCTGGAGGGGACTAGCATCCAGGACTTTCTGTGGTCCACAGAGAGCTGCAGGCTCCCTTTGCTCCATCCCAGTCTTGACGTACGAATCCAGCTTTGCTTGGGTTTACACAGGGAAAGACCCAGGTTTGTGCAAACCAGGAGTCCATGAATTCTACGCCTGCTGTGGCTGGGGCGGGGGCCGGGGCTGGTGCAAGCAGGCGGGGGCGCCCTGTGCCAGGACCATGCGCAGAATCTCATGGCAATAAACCAAAGGTTCCATTCCACCCCTGGCCACCCCCCGCCTCACCAATTAATAAATATTTATTCAGTGCAAGGACTGGAAGGGAACTTAGAGAAATGGTAACTCTCCATCTTAAAACACAAAGGCCCAGAGAAGTGTGCTGAGTGGGCGGCCCAAAGCCGCTCTGGCGGTAATTTGTCATTCTGGCCGGCTGTCATCTGAACACTTTCCTCTGGGAGGGGTGGGTCCTGAGATAGCTGGGAGGCCCGGCCCCCTGCACCTTGGAGACTGGACGCTGAGGGAGGTCGGACTCTCCGCACTCGGCCCTGGCAGCTGGGGAAGGGGCTCCTGAGCCGGGGGAGGTCGCTCCCCCCAGGTCAGTGCTGCTGCCCGAATCACAGGGGGGAAGATGAAGGTGTGAAGCGAGGCGGGGAGCGCCTGGGTGGCTCAGTCGTTGAGCGTCTGCCTTCGGCTCGGGTCTTGATCCCAGGGTCCTGGGATGGAGTCCCACATCGGGCTCCCTGCTCGGCAGGAAGCCTGCTTCTCCCTCTCCCACTCCCCCTGCTTGTGTTCCCTTTCTCGCTGTGTCTTTGTCAAATAAATAAATAAAATCTTAAAAAAAAAGTTGGGGCGCCTGGGTGGCTCAGTTGGTTAAGCGACTGCCTTCGTCTCAGGTCATGATCCCGGAGTCCCGGGAGTCCCGCGTTGGGCTCCCTGCTCGGCGGGGAGCCTGCTTCTCCCTCTGACCCTCCCCCCTCTCATGTGCTCTCTCTCTCTCATTCTCGCTCTCTCAAATAAATAAATAAATCCTTAAAAAAAAAAAGTCTAACAGAGATCAACTCAGGGTGTTGGCGGGACTGGTTCCTTCTGGAGGCTCTGGGGAGAACCCATTTCCTTGTCTTTCCCAGCTTCTAGACAAGGTCTTCTGCATTCCTTGACTCATGGCCCCTTCATCTATCTTCAAAGCCAGCAGCAGAGCACCTTCAAATCTCTTTCTGACCTTCCCTTCCA